TCTAAATATTTTCTGGGTAGTTATCCTTCACCTTCCATATATATTAACATTTTTTCCAGTCTGTGCTTGTATTTTAATCTTGCTTTTGATATCTTATTACCTCTCTCTCTTGGTCTTTGTGTCTGAAATTTGTGCAATCTTTAGAAACCCACAAGATGATAAATATATTTCTGTATATTATTGTAGTATTGTATAGGTTTAAAAAATCTTTGGTTATTTAATATGTATAGCATTTATTTTTGAATGTAGTGTGAGTGGTTATTTTAACTTAACTGTTTTTTAAAATGGCTGGCAATTGTCTGAAATGTGTGACCTTTCAACAACAAACTTGAAATGTTATTTTTTTTACACGTGTAATCCCTACATATGCCATGTATACATGGTTGGTGTTTTTCCTGTTTAATTATCTGTATATTCCTGCAGTAATTCCAAGCTATTTTAATTACTATAGCTTTATTGCCTGTTTTGGATATAGTAATAAAGTAATACTCCTCCCCTTCATCAACACTAGTTTTCTATTTCCAAACTCCTGACTGCTCTTCCATGCTTTTCCTTTCAAATGAATTTCAAAATGGGCTTATCAAATTATATGCAAATCCCTAGTGGAATTTTGGGTGGCCATGCTTTGAATTTGTAAACTAAATTGGGGGAAGATTTTAATACTAATTTTATTTACTTTTCTTTTATTTAATAAATACGTTTTGCAAGTTAACTCTGTGCTGGGCACTTCTGATAACTGTGACAAAGACATCTTGCATTAACAACACCATGTCCTCTTCCTGGACTTACATGTCTAAGCCTGTCTTGCAGTTGGGCTGAAGGGGCCATGTAACTGAATTCTGAACAATGGAATCTGTGCTGACACCATACAAGTCACTACCAGACTTAGCCTTTCCAAAACATCCTGTGATTTTCAAGCTGCCTCTTCCCTTGTTATGGCAAGCTTGGAAACCATGTGTTCCTGATGCATTCTACAGGATGGAGGAAGACTGCCACAATCACAATAGACTTTGCAGAAATAAGAAATTAACTTTTGTGCACAAACTTCTGGTTGGGGGAGGAGGCTCACTGGCTACAGGAAGAAAGCTTATCTTATCCTGACTAATACAGCATCTTTATAATTTGGAGTCCTCTAATTCAGAAACATAGTTTGTATCTCTATCAACTGTTCTTTTAAAACATTCAGTGAAGTTTTTGACTATTTGCATAAAGGTTTTGCACGTGTCTTTTGGAGATTATTCATGGGCATTTATGAAAGGCACTATGCTGTAGAGGTTTATCCAAGTATGTTTTGGATCCAGACTAACAGAGTCCAAATCCTGAGTCTGCCACTTACCAGTTGTGTGACTTCAGACAAACTACGTAACCTCTCTGTACTTCCTTTGTTTATGTGTAAAGATCATATGTGCCTTTTAGAGTGAAAAATTACACTGTTGCATTCTTTTAAACTTCAGGAATAGGATCAGTTTTTCATGTATGCTTTCTTTTATGTTTTCTACATAGTTATTACTGATTTGAGAAAAGCTGTTACTGATTTTCCTAAGTTGATGTTGTATCCTACGAACATAAAGAACTTAAACATTCTAACATGTCTACTAAATTTTTCTAAATGGATAAGCATATAGTTGCTCAGTTTGGGTATTAGGATTACGGAATAAGTTAAAAAACTATCCTTTTTTGTTTCTTTCTCTGGATCAGTTTATATAGGAAAG